AAATGCCATGCGAATCCCTTTGGAAAGATAAAGCACTGTCATCGATGTCTGCAATTCTGTCCCTTTCTCACCCTTCAACACGCTGCCCCTGCATGTCGAGAGGCCCCCACAGCTCAGTCCTGGCCTTAGGGGGCTGTGCAGTCCACGCTGCTAGTCCAGGAGCCTCAGGACAGACTCCCGCCCAGCCTGGGCGTTAGAGGGCGCCCAGGGCAGGATTCCAAAGGAAGAAGGTTTAGACTCTTAGACTCCCGGGGGGCGGGAGGGACGGTCCACAGCTGTTAAAATGGAACATGTGCGTCCTACTCTTTTTTTTTTTTTTTAATATGGAACGCTTCACGGACTTGTGTGTCAGCCTTGCGCAGGGGCCATGCCAATCTTCTCTGTATCCTTCCAGTTTTAGTGTGTGTGCTGCCGAAGCGAGCACATGTGTGTCCTGTTCTTACTAGTAAGAGTGTATTTTTCAGATGTTTCCACGCAAATGCACAAAAGATATGCACCCTCACAAAATACAAGTCCTGATATTGTTCTTCATGGCGAGATGCTCAACGTAACCTCCACGCCCACCCGAGAGGAGGAGGTGTGCACGGGTGGAGAGCCACGCACAGGAGCCCACGCTGCCTTTGAGTGAGCGAGTCGATCTGAGTGTCCTGGCATGGAATGTTCTCCAAGGCACTGCGTTAAGTGGGGTAAAGAAAAACCAAAATAAGGAGCACAAGACACAGCACACCCGCTTCCTTGTGAAAACCAACGCTCTCCACAAGGCTTCTCTCAGGAAGAAGGCTGCGCGGCACCGCTTGGGGAACGTCAAGATCCGCCTCACGGATGAAGACTCAGACACAAGGGTATTGGCAGGGTAGAGTCGGTCAAGCAGGAACCAAATTCTGGGGGAACTTCAACTCCAGGCTGTGAGATTGAACAAGACAGAAAAGACAGCAGGGGCCAAGAGTCCTGGTGTTGGTGACCTGGAGGGGCAGGCTGGAGGGGGCGCTTCCCGGAGACGAGAATCCTGGGCCTGCCCCTCCCCATTGAGCCCGGGCAGGTCAGACGTCCGGGCTGGAGCCGCCTCATCTCGACAGAGGATGCTGAGGAGTAAAGGCAACCCAGCAGAATCCCCAAGATGCAGCATGCTGAGCACGATGGCCGAGGAGGGAAGAAGTAGGGATGTCCTGGGAATTCCTCCAAGAAGAGAGGCTTTGTTCCCTGGAGCACATGGAGGGGGGATTGAGCTGAGCACTTATCTCCTTCTCAGCAAGTTTCAAGTTCAGTAACTCTGAATTGGGGCTGGGAGACTGGAAGGAAAATTGAGTTGTGGGGGCAAAATAATAACGGCTTGACTTAATTACAAAAACGCCTCGCTGCCCTGTCGTGATGTCAACACTACGCCCGCTGCAATTCAGGCTCTTGTGAAGGGGCTATTTTGTTAAAATTCAGGACAAAAGCCGTGCCATTTATGAACACATCCGTATATTTTAGTGAGTGCAATGGATTAAAGGGGGAAAAAGTAATTATTCACCAACAGGCCGGCCCTCCATGATCTCAGTCTTGGTGGCTGCGAGGCTCCGTGTGGGAAGTAATACGCATATATTCGAGTTAACTCTGTGGGAAATTGAACGTCCTGGACATTAAACACACTTGACAAGACACCTTGAGGTGCAGAGAGGACGCGGAGTCAGGAGCAGCAGAGCTCGGTCTGGTGACAGCTTTGAGGTGGGTGGATTTTTGCTTTTTATGGACACACCCTCACTGTCGTTTCCTGGTTATTAAAGTGGCTGGAGAATCTTTATTATGTTTCCTGGTACACTAACTCTGTCGAAATTAAGAAATCTCATCAGACTAGAGCGTCCACAAAACACAAGCGATGACCATGAATCACACCTTGGCCTTGATGGAGGACAGATAACAGAGTAATTTCTTTGGTCTGCGCCTCATACCTAATCATGGCTCTCAGACATGGAGCCCTGCTAATCTATGTATATATAAAAGCCTAAGCAACCGTTACTACCAGTCGACCGAACAACTGGTCGACTGGTCGCTATGACATGCACTGACCACCAGGGGGCAGACACTCATCATAGGAGCTGATCCCTGGTGGTCAGCGCGCTCCCATAGCCAACCTCCTGCAGCCAGTCAACCTCCCACGTCCCTCCCTCCGGCCAGCCGGCCCCAATCAGCCCCAATTGCCAGCCAGGCTGAGGAACCCCACCCGTGCTCGAATTTGTGCACCGGGCCTCCAGTTGAAATATAATCTAAGGAAGCATGGCCGTGGTTAGGCCACGCCCTACAGGAGAGAGCGTGCCTCTGGGAAGAGGGTGGCAGGGAGAGCGCAGGGCTGGGGGCGGGGGTGGTGGGTCTTTGGGGAAGACGGTGGAGGAAGTGAGGGTCATGGGCCGCCACAGCCAGAGGGGAAGTGGCTGAGAGCGTCCTGAAGACTCTGGGATTGTGGACTCCTGGTCCTGATACGAATGTGGAACCTCGGCCCGCCGTGCCCTGCATCCCCAGCGTCCCACATCCCACTTGTGCTCCTTCTTCCGTGCATTCAAATGCTCCCCCACCCCCCTCAGAGCGTGTTTCCTGAGTCCGCAGACTGGGGATGGCCCCCTCCCTTCCCCATCCCTCTCCTGTCCCCACCAATGCCACGGCTAGTTCACAGAAGCCAGGCCTGCGGTCCCCGGCCGGCGTGGTCACCTTCCGGCACAGGCGCGATGCAGACACTTGGGAAGGGGTCAGGGAGGGTCTGGGCACCGGGTGGGCATCCCGGGACGTTTCTAAGCAGAGGCGGCGCAGGGGAAGCAGGACCCCCCCACTGGCTGGGGGTTTCCTCCAGGACAGAGGTGAGCAGCCCAGAAGCCCCACAGTGGGCGGAAAGTTAGTTCAAAGACCTCAAGTGCGGGCCGTGAGGCCAAGGATGCCTCATTCTGCGAGATCCGTCACGACCTATAACTATGTGATGTAAATAGGATGCCTTACATATGCAACGCATAGCATGCTTTCCACAGTCCATTTTCAAATGTTAATTTCCTCGAGGGTGGCAATTGCCTCCAGTAACTTAACTGGCAGGGTCCCCCGGGTAGGGACCTTGGGCTTGTTCACTGATGTGGTGGCTTGGCACCCGTCACGTAGGCGACCACGGTACATAGATCGTGCACGTGTGAGACATGTGGTTAGAGATGTGGTTGCCAGACAAGCCACAGGATGCCTATTGACTTTAAATTTCAGATAAATAGCACACATGTCTCAGTATGTCTTACATATGACATGACATACACTCATACTTACAAAAAAGTATTTGTTGTTCATCTGGAATCCAGATTGACTGGACATCACGTGGTTTTCTGTTTGTTTGTTTGTTTGTTTTAAAAATATCTTTATTGATTTCAGAGAGGAAGGAAGAGGGAGAGAGAGAGAGACACACCCATCAATGATGAGAGAGAATCATGCATTGGCTGCCTCCTGCACGCCCCCCACTGGGGATCCAGTCCACAACCCGGGCACGTGCCCTGACCAGGAATTGAACTGTGACCTCCTGGTTCAGAGGTGGATGCTCAACCACTGAGCCCCGCCGGCTGGGTCATCCGTGGTTTTATTTGCTAAACCCAGCAAGGTCACACTGCACGTGAGCAGGCAATATGTCCACACACAATGATTTCTGGTAAATCCTGTGGCCTATTTAATTCCTATCATTCTTCACAGTTTTCAGATCCTTTCGTCTGCCCGGTAGTGAGGACGTGAGGGTTTCTCCAGGAGCCCCCTCTGCAGTACACGCTACGAATGAGGAAGGGTCCACGCCACTTATGACGCCTGCGAACTCCCTGAGCCAGTGATGGTGAACCTATGACACGTGTGTCAGAGGTGACACGCGAACTCATTTTTTTGGTTGATTTTTCTTTGTTAAATGGCATTTAAATATATAAAATAAATATCAAAAATATAAGTCTTTGTTTTACTATGGTTGCAAATATCAAAAAATTTCTATATGTGACAGGGCACCAGAGTTAAGTTAGGGTTTTTCAAAATGCTGACACGCCGAGCTCAAAAGGTTCGCCATCACTGCCCTGAGCTGTCACAGGTCTTTCTCATCTTTCTCCTGAATATGGAGGATGCTGACCGTCTCCTCGTCACCCTGCGGCGGCGCTGGAGGGCACGTGGCTGCAGTGCACCCACGGGAGCCATTCGTCCTGCCTGACCTTTCCGGCTGGTGGGCGGCCGTGAGCTTACGCAGCTGCAGCCCCTATGAGCTCAGGTCTCCGCTGCCGGAGGCGCTTCTCTGGGCACCACCACTGGCCCAGCATCCCAGAGCCGAGGCCGAACAATGGGCCCTTCCCACCCTCCCTGAGCCCCGGGACGTCCCCACAGGGGACGGGGATGGGGGCCGGGGGAAGGGGGGGGCGGGGGGGAGAGATGTTGAAATGCTCTTCCCCAGGCCATTCTAAGTGCCCACCTTCCCGCAGCGTTGCCACCACTGGCACCTGAGGCTCCTGGCCGTGGTTGGGAATCTTTCCTATCTTCTTTCCAGCCGTGCTCATGGCGGGGAGCTGCTCTGCTGCCGACGGCTCCGTCTGAGGAAGGAGGACTCCAGGCAGCTCCCGCTCCAGGGCAGGCGTGTTGATACGTCAGGAAATACCTGCTCTTTTCCCGATTGTACTCAGTCTTCACTGGTCAAACCTCTTCCTCTTCCCCCAAATCCAATTGATTTCCTCTATTATTTTGTATCGATAGGGTTATTACTGCTCAGGAGTGGCTTGCGTTGTCTTTATTGACGTCCATTGCATTTAATTGAGCCGTCCGTCCAGTTTGTCCAAATCATGTTGGATTCTTCCAATTATCCAGTGCAATGGGCTCCAAACTGATGTGGAAAATTTTCCCTTTTAGAAATTCTAAGAATTCACATGATTACACTGGGAACAATGACAAGATGAATTATTTGGTATTTTAAAATATATCACCTAAAACTGCACGCCGAATGTGTTGGAAAGCAATTCTGGACGTGCTGGCGCAGGCAGGTAGGCAGCTATTGATAAAGGCAGGGAGCAGAGGGAGTCAGCCATCAGGGAGCGCACTCAAGGAGGGGGCATGAGCCGGCTTGCTCCACCAGGAAGTGACCGCCTCACAGGCTCCCCGGAACCACCCCTCACTCCCACAGTCACTGGGAAGGGGAGGACAGTCCAGGGGGAGGGGAGCACTTGTGCAGGAGCTAAGCTGGCGGCCATACAGACCTGTCAGTCTAGCCTGGGAAAGGATGGGATTGGATAAGAGACACAACCCTGGAAGATCTAGGAGATGGATTGGTTAGAAGGCGGGCCCAGCGCAAACCCATGAAAGCTTAGGAACCTGATTGCTTATGTTGAAAAAGCGCCCGGTCCCTCTCAAGCCCGAGGTGATATAATCCCAGCCACACTAGCCTGTCTCCCTCGGTTACGAAGAAAC